TCTCTAAGATGTATCAGAGGCAGATAAAAAACGTAGACTTGGGTATGGATTTTGGGTTCATACTTAATCCTCCTAGCTCCAATCTAAGAACAATTAGATATTCACCCTTATGAAGGAAGCAAAGAAGATGTGATGAGGGTGCTATAGCAAAGTAAGGTAGAAGAAATTAGATGGTGCCCAACTATCAAGAAGAATAGCATCTGGGATCTTAAAAGACTTGTTAGCAGTCATCTAAGTGAGACATCACCTAAGACCACAAGGAAGAAGCACACCAACATCCATGATCCAAGGATGTTGATGTGCTTCTTCCTTTAAATTATATAAACCAAATCTGAAAGAAGGAATAGTGTAGGAGCTTAAATTGTGAGATTCTGGTGTGCAAATGGCTATGGAAAACAATGGAAGCCCAAAATAAAATTTCAGGATATACACAGGGAATAAGCCTCTGTTGAGTTCCCTCTAGCCATACTTGAATGATGGTTAATGACCTGATAATTAAACGGAGTATTGGAGAGATGACTATAGTATATTAAAATGATAAATCTCCTTTTGATAAACTTTGTTCTTGATCTGGTTTTCAATACTTTCGTGTGTGTGTGTGTGTGTGTGTGTGTGTGTGTGTGATACTGAGGTTTGTCTCTGTTGTATTTTGACATTGTTGGTAGCCTTCTTGACTCTCTGTTATGTGTTTTTACTGTTTTTCAGTATGAAACCCAGGATAGGTGAATCTATAGAAACAGTAACTAGAATAAAGCCTCCCTGGGGAGAGGGGGGTGAACAACAGGGTGGGTAAGGAAGAGCTATTATCAAGGTGTTCAAGGAAGAAAGAAAATGTCTTGAAACTGGTTGTAGTAGCAATTGTACAACACTGATATGATTGAACTACAGAATGGTATAATGTCTAGATTAGCTCCTAATAAAATGGCTTGGAAAAAAATTTTCATTTCTCTATAAATTTTGAGGCAAGAAAGTTAATATGAACTTATCTCAAAACATGCATCCATTTATTGAAATATATGTAGTCATTAAATGTTGTAAATGATTACCACAATTTAAAATTATTACAATTAAAACAATACTCTGACAGTATTCTTTATAATTCAAAAAAAAAACAACCCTTAAATGCTCAATACAGAGAATATATAAAATGGAAATACAAATATATTTACATACAGACCCATGATTTCAAAGAGTAGATGTGAAATAAAATTCATGATCATATTATTATGTGGAAGAGCAGAATGTTGTATGATACTAATTCTGTTTAAAAGCAATTGCCAACCGAAAAGTGGATGAAGGGAGACGTCGGACAGGGCAAAATATGACAAAATACCCATTTATAAACTATCAAGGGCTCATGTGGGAGGGGGGAGCGGGGAGGAAGGGGAAAAATGAGGACCTAATGTCGGGGGTTTAAATGGAGAGAAAATGTTTTGAGAAACGATGTACAAATGCGCTTTACACAATTGATGTGT